GTTAACGGAAAGTGAACAGTACTATGAAGTGTCTCTAAAACCAAAATAATCATAAGAGCAAAGCTGAAAAGTACTCAAAAGGGACTGAAACTTTAGTTAACCTTTATTGTCAGTTAAATTAAGACAATAATGGAATCATGACAAAAATGTATGATTAAATGAGCAATAAAACGTAAGTTTTTGTTGTGTTTCATGTCACTCTATTACTTGAAATGTCCATCAGGCGTTTTTAGTTATCTGTCCATTTAAAACCACAAATTGTAAACTTTTTTTAAAGTGCTTAGTTGTTCACAAAATAATCGGGATCAAAACAAAAGAGAGGTGAAATTCTGCTCTTAGAATCTAGTATACTTCAGTGAGAAACAAATCCGCATGAATTACTACTGCAAAGTTAATTTCCTCTTCACATAATCTTCATTGTGCAATACTAGTTCGTCATCATCATCTTCATGTTTCCATCCAAGGACTAAACAACCTCAAGACTTATTCATTTCGCCATAAAATGCTTAATAAGCAGGATTATTCATTAGTGAAATATATCTGAAATAATTGGTTACTTTAATCTTCGTCATGTATAATAGAAGAGTTTAAGGGGACTCACACAAACTGTTGAACTCTTTGATTTGTAGTTACAGTGAAGAGGTACGCAATTATTGTTTAAGTTAAAAACTTACATGGTTACTATGATAGTTAATCTGACTAGTTTAATAACAAGATTAGATTTTTTTTTCTTGAAAATCAAATAAATACCTCTAACATCAAGTCGGTAATTAGATTCTTATGATTTGTAATCTTTTTCAAGTGTTCACACTTTATTAGTCGGGAATATTTCTTGAACAATCCACTCCTACTAAACAAAAATAATTGTCAGATATTATCCCCCATTGAAATATTCAGCTTTTTCCCATATAAGACGTAGTATGAAGAGCATTCTTCTCGCTAATTAGCCAGAACAATTCTGAAAGTGATAAGATCCGAAGATTTTATTAGTTTTTCTCCAATTTAACATTAGGATTTAACAAAAAAAGTCATTCAATTTCATCAACTTAGTGTTAAACTCAACTCATTCATCTAGGAAGGTAAGTACAAAGTAATCAAAAATAACCTCTTGCGTAACATCAGATGATATAGGCTTCAGTTTACATTACTACCAGTAGACATCACCACAAATCCGAAGCCTCCCATTTTCATTAAGTAAAAGTGTCGATTTGCATAGACTTGATTGATTTGAAGTCTGATCATCAGCTAACTTCAGTTAGGGAATCACTGAAAACTAGAAAGTAATGGCCAGCTGTTTTGTCCCTGTTCGTGACGCTTCAGTAGTACGCACCCATGATCCAAACAAGGAGCAAGCTCGTTGATCATTCAGCCAATGAGATGGAATTCAATGGTCCATCATTTCTAACTTCTACCAAATAACGATGTTTAACGTGACTGCCGGCTGATGTCATCAGTAAGTATCTGTTCTCACATCCGACTTGATGGACTCCACCGGTTATGACTTCCCGATAGAACTTTAGGCACCTTCACCTTGTAGTCAGTCACCAGTGGATGAATGGTAAATGAGACCTCATGATTCTGGGTTCGACTCTTGCTAGGGTTATGTGTGTGTACTGCAAAGAGTTCCGAACAAAGACGAAGCAGATGCTTCCTACTCCCTAATTTTCAATAGTTCTCTAACTGAAGTTAATTTGTGATCACACTTGACAAGTGTCAGTGTTGTTAAAGAATCCAGTAATTCCTAACCTCTGTGTGTCTGCGTAACTAAGATTCATCGCTTAAGATAACAGAATTCAAAATTGCCAAACTATCACTTAAAATGAACCCATTTGAATGACCAATGCACATTTATCGACCATATAGTCAAGGTTTATAATGTCGTAGTTCAGTTAAAAATATTTGTTCACTATCTAGATCGGTGCAACCGCGTAATGACTATTATGATAGAAATTGCTTTGCAATTAATTCTAACGACTACCATTGTTGCTTTTAGCGCTTAATTTAATTCACGTTTGTTTAATAGGCGTGAATTAGACAACTATTTCTTTTTGCATTTTTGTCTGTTTGTCATTTCAGTCAGACAAAAGTAGTAACGTCATTGGTCATTTGTTCTAGAGAAAAATAACCTAGACACAGGTGGTCGGGTTAGGGCATATTATAAACACAGACGGAAAAATTATCCTATTTGACCAGACTATTTATTATTCTACGCTTAAAATATGTAGCGAAATACTAATCTGAGGAGAGGGAGAGAGATTTCTTATGGACCAACCAAAATGAAGTGTGTTTCTTTCAATCCATGTAATGTTGAATGATTGTAAGGGAAGCCCGACTATATTTTGCAGCATGTTTGGAACCAGAAGTCTCTTGGGAAACTAGCCGGGAGTTCTACCAGATGAGCTAAGAAACCTAGATGATAGTCATAGTGTCATTTCAGTGTAATTATCAGGGGTTATTCCCAACTTCCGTGAGCTCTTAACACCATTCTGACTGTTCAGTTTGATTTTTCTTCTTCTCAGTTCTATTCATATTGTGAATCGAGTTTGTCAGAATTTGATTTCAAAAAACATTTCATAGTAGCTCATAATAGCTGTTGGTATCACAAAGCTTTTAATACACTTTTTGATATCCTCTGAAACAATGTTCCCTTATTTGATTTCATCACTCATTGTACATAATCTGAGCATACACTAGTTAATGGTATCAATTTGGTAAAATCGAGGAATTGTCCCGAAGATATTTCATCATAGTTCTTTTATTAAGGCAAGACCCTTTACCATCCATGTCGTGTAGGCCTCCTGAGAATCACATGAACTGTACTTTGGTGGTTAGAATGACTAACATATAAGATTGGTTACCATCATTACAGTGCATCCCTCTATTATTACTACTATTAATTATCTTCATTTGCAGTATTCAGACTGTATAAACTCACAGATAACTTGTCTAAATTCGGTGTTCTACCCTGTGTGGTCTTATCAGAAAATAATCTGTGTGAAAGTCTGCTATTACTGATTATTTCAGCTATGTTAATTAGTTTCGACTGAAAAAAGCCTTTAATCTGCAGAAAGCATTACACTGATTAGTCTGTTCGTTTCTTCTAACTTTCGGATCTGCTACTTTCAGCAGCATTAAATGATGTAACTCTATCTGAATCTTTTATGAAGGCTCCGACAGACAAGCTTAAGTATAACCTGTTTTGTATGAACATACAACAGCAGACTTATTGTATTATTATTATTACTACTCCCTTGCGTTCCGAGTGGAACATAGGGCTTAAACAACACATCTCCATTTTGTTCTGTTTTCTGCCGTCCTCTTCAGCTGGGTCCATGACTGACCGAACTCTCTCATCTCTTCCTCACCACACTACCTCTTCCATGTCACCGTCACATTGACGATCCACTCCTTGCTTCCCATTTGGATTCCACTCGAGGCATTGTCTGGAGTACGATGTCATTCGGCGGCCTCCTCAATGTATATCCGATCCACCTCCCTTTTCTCCTACATATTTGTTGAGCGATAGGTTCTTGGTTCGTTTGTTCCCATAGTTTCGTGTTGCTTATTCTTTCTGGATAGCCATTTGATCTTCAGTAGGGAATCAGGGAAGCGGGCAGCTGCTGATGAAAATCTGCAACCTATCGGAAATCCTTTTCGTGACACGCAGTGCAAGTTTCTGACCCGTCTAAAAGAACCGACTTCACATTAGTGTTGAAAATACTAATCTTGTTCCTTGTGCTGACTGCGGAAGATTTCCAAACTGGTTTCAGGTTGATGAAGGCTTATCTTGCCTTTCCGATTCTGATTGTATATTATCTCATTAATGTTTCCAAAATCTGAGATTTCGTCTACTCATTTAGGTACCTCATTCTCTTAAATCATTAAATGTATCAGTAGATGTAAACAGTCATTATCGTGTGTCTGTGCATTCTAATATAGGCAATTTAACAGGTAGCTTCTTCGGAGTTAGTAACATTAAATTTTACTCAGTGCCTGTTTTTTATAGATTTAATTTTGAACTTGATAAACATGTATCATATAACTGCATATTAGAAAGTTGGACATTGTACAGTTGAGCAACTGAAATAACGGGAGAAACACACCGCTGTACCATGGAAGAAGAAATTTTAATTTCAGATATTGTTTCACTAATAATAATGGCTTTATTCTGAACAGTGTTTTGTACAGAATTTTCAGCAGAGTTTATTGTATGATATTTTCTCCTTGTTCAGGATCTTCAAATAAAAGAATAATCGACAGTAGATCGTGTGACACAGTTCTATCTGACCTGAAGCGCAAAACAATCCATAATGATGTCTTTTCTTTTCCTCCTTCGAGAAATACACGACATTTTGTTGCATGCCAACTATAAAAAGTTCAGAAGTACATTTTGTGAATCAAGAACAGCACTCAAGAACGGTCATTACATGTATTAGAATAAGCTGTCATCGAGGATAATGCCTAATCATATGTTTAATAGAAACTTGTGATTCAGCAGGCTGTAAATGTTTTAATTACTCGCCAAGGTAAACAATACTATTATAGGTCATATCTTATTCGATTTAAACAAAATGAATAAGAGAAATTATATGCAGTATATTGATGGAGGTTTTCGGTAGCCTTAGTTTTAAGCAGGCCTCCAAGAGCTGACTATATCCTTAGATAAATATTTACTTCTGCCACACCTTCTGTCATACAGTGTACACGGGTAACTATATTCTTTCTGTACACATGAATGTCAATCTAAATTGTCCAAGTGTGTGGAAATAAACTTTTTGAATTAAGATTTTGTTGTTTCTTTTCATACTGACATATTAAAGCAAACTAATTAATTTTGTAAAATAATGAGATGTTTCTGTAAGACAGATAAAAATTTCAAAATAGCCCAGAACTATTCTGAATTTAGTGTTCAATTAAGTGAAAATTAGCTGTGCATTTTAAATGTAACGATTGCCATTCACCATTTGGTAATTCCATCCCTATTTTTGTATGTTATTCAGCTTGTTGCTTATGATCCAGACAGCACATCACAATTAACCTACACCATGGCTTCTTCATTAGAGTATCATGTAATGTCCACTACATTTCATATTGAATCTGATGGACATGTTCGACTACGTAGTAGTTTGGACTATGAATTACGACAGATCTATTCTATTCCAATTGAAGTAACCGATGGTGAATTCTCTTCGCGTACTACACTAAATGTTCAAGTACTTGATGTAAACGATGAACCTCCAGCATTTGAACTGAATCCAAAACAATTAGTTGCAGATGAAAATTCTTTACCAGGCAAATTAATTGGACAGGTAAGCTCAGTGTTTGTTTAACCACTTCATTTTATTTGTTCTTCATTATGATGCGAAGTTGCAATTGAAATAAAGCCAAAGTGCATACACTGGTGACCCTTAAAGTTTGATAGAACTAACCTGCTGGCCCAGTAAAGCACTGATTAAACTGTACAGTCGAACTGTTTGTACGATATCAGTTTCATGTGGATAACACGTACTTGATAAATTTGATGTGAATCATTAATTACCTTTTCGGATTGTATTTCTACCTTCATTCTTCTTTCAACTGCAATCGTTATTCGTGTATATTAAAAAAATGGAAGATTCTGCTTCGTTTATTAAAGGGTGAGAAAGAATTAATGATGGGTGACAATTAACGATAATTAGAGAAAATTTACAAGTTCTGTATATATGCTACTGATAGCTGAATAGACAACTAAGGAATTATAAAGATTGTGAACATAATTTCGTATATTCCTCTCGTTTCATAGGCATTTTGGTTGATGAGCAATCATACTAATTGAAACATTGACAATTTGCTTACAAGGCAGTTATTTCAACGAGCTGTCTGTGAATTGTTAACCTCATTTCAGCCCTCGGGATACATGTATCCTAGTGTTACTTCTAACATCGAACTACTATCAAATAAATATTAACTTTGCAGGCTTGTCATAAACTGCATTCTCTTAAAGAACTACTAAAACCATAAACAACATTTGAAAACTTTTATTTATATTTAGCAATGAGGTGTATTGCTATTACTGTCTTCCGTAATATATTGTGATTTCTTTGTCTGAAAATATTAACGAAAATTAAAACGGAATTATGCCTTGACTTTGCACCTAACTTCCCCTTATTTGTTAGCCAGATCAGACAAATTAGACTAATATTTTAAAAATGATTTGTAATTGAAAACATTTTATGCTTAGTAAGTAGTAGAGTATTCGATAGATATCATAATCACGCATCATTTTACTTCCCACTCTCCTAATACAGGTACGGATTCGTGATCCAGACAGTCCTAGTGTAAATGGTCTTGTAGAGTGTTCAGAACCACCGGGATTGGTTCGTCGTCAAGCGCTTCAATTCTCACCTGATCCAACTGTAAATCCTACAGCACAAGGTTATGATTTAACTACTCGAATAATGCTTGACAGGGAAGATCCTGAAAATCCTATTCCAGGTCATTTAATTATTCATCTGATCTGTTCAGATGGTGGTTCAAATACTGGTAGGATAGGTTCACATAATTCTGTTAGTGGAGTTCGTTTGACTTCAACTATGACGGTGACGTTGACCATTCGGGATATGAATGATCATGGCCCGGTTTTTGAAAATTCCGTTTATCATGTGTCAATTCAAGAGAATAATCAGATTGGAGAAAAAGTTGTTCAAGTAAGTCATATAAAATCAACTTACCCCTTAGCATCCTTTGCCCTAACTTTTTCAACTGCTAGTTTTTCTTTTTTAACAATGAAACATTGACAACTACGAGAATTTTTATTACACTTGTAGGGGACAATTAACAAGTTATAGAAATTATTAGTTACTTGATGATACAGTTAAAGCCTCTGCTACAAATTATCAATATTATCCACAGAAGCATTCACTGCTGTGCACAGGTTGTAGAATAGTCTTCTGATGAGGATGAGAGATTCCTGCAAAAATCCAAAGGATACAACACGTTTAGTAGTGAAGCAAGTAGACATTATGGACCAGTGAGAAGACGGAGCGAAAAGCAGTAATTTGTATTTCAGATTGTACTCCGAAGTTATGTACAATGTTTCCATTTTTAACATCTAACAAAAAACTGTACAATCGTCCTGTTCCAGACTTCACACAGTTGTGGTCGATTAATATACTGTCTTCGGGTGAACCGTAATGAAGTATTTATATTATTCAAAGGGATGATATTAAATCTCTTTAGATACTGATAAAGCGATTCTGCTATCAGAATTATTGATTCCCTTCAATAAGATAATTCATTGCGTATGGTTCTATCATCATTTAAGCATTACAAAGTGTTATTGTTTAGACCGGATTAAACACTTTAACAAGAATGGCATAAATAATTAGGTTTTAAGGAATAATGAAATTTTACGAGCTCACTAAAAGTCGGTAGATGTCTTTGTATCTCAGTGGGAAGATCATTTACTGAGTTGGGTGGTATATCTACCTGACGTCACTTAGAACAGATTGGGCACTACCGACCCACCAATGCCAACTAATAATAGACACATAATGAAGTACTGTTTGAACATTAAAGAAATGAAGTTATATAAACTACATTTTTCTCCACTTTTCAGAATTTACTGACTAAAATGCCTATCACTCAGAAGTTATGTACAGATACTTTTCTATCATTAAAGAATTCACCACTAAGGAGAAGGGAGTCTTAAATAACACATGATGATTGTTTCTGATGACTTATCAGCAGATTTATGAAAATTATATTCATTTCTGCCAAAATATCTTCACAAAGATTACACTGTTTCAATGAAATGTGAACTTTATGCAAATAGATATTAGTCATCTGTAGAAGATTAGTCATACGTATTTATGTTTTCACTCAGCATCAAAATAAGATCCGGATTTTCAACTCCAATGTGAAATCAGTGTTACTATACGGATCAGAGACTTGCACTGCGCGTCATAAAGAGCATCTCAAACAAACTACAGACCTTCATTAACAGTTGTCTTCGCTCAATACCACTCAAGATCAGATGGCCGGTCAGAAAATATCAGCAACAGGGATCTTTGGCAATGAGCAAACCAACCAGGAACCGATTGTGAAACAAATAGGCAGGAAGAAATGGAGATGGATTGGCTGGCCATACTCTGAGGAAACCATCAAGTGACATCACTAGACAAGCCATCGATCGAGTGGAACCCGAAAGGGAAGCGGCGAGTTGGCCCTCAGTGTAAGAGTGACATTGAGAAGGTTATATGAAGAGGAGATAAAAGCATGTGGAGCCAGGTGGAAACGTTGGCAGAGAACCGAACGCAATGGAGACGCACGGCTGAAGCCCTATGTTCCTCTAGTAATTAAAGGAAATAATAATATGTAATATAATTTATGTTTTCAGTTAGAGGAGTGTTTTCGCCCGTCTACTACATAGTATCAAAACTTTTATATTATTTCTATTTTCGGCAGATAAGTGCTCAAGATGATGACGAAGGTGAGAATGCAAGAATTACCTACTCTTTGTTGGATAGGGCTAATTTCAAAATAGACGCCTTGACAGGTTGGATTACTCCAAATTTGATGTTTGACCGGGAGACACGTGATTCATACCAGGTAAGTGATTTTCAGATTTGTTTAAAAGGTCTACATAACAGTATGCGTAGGCAGTTTAGTAGTTTGTTAAATTACAGCATTATACAATGAAGCACAAGTTTATGTGGAATAGCTATGCTTATTTTTGGCTTTTACATTTTTGATTTAGGATGTTCTTATCAAATAAGTGAGTAAAGTTAACAAACTGCATTTAGACTATTTGTACATCATCACCGCTACCAAAATCTGAATAACAACCCTATTCCTACTAATTCATCTGCTTCATACAAAATATGGATTAATATAATTTTGCATGGAGGATTTCATCATGAGCTGACATCAGTTAGAAAACCACTGGAAAACCTGCCTCAGAGTGCTGGACTGCTGTTTCGTCCTAGTTTGGGACTCTTCATCAGTACGCACCCACCGGGGTTCGAACCTAGGACCTTCTGGTTACAAGCCGAGCTAGCTCGTAGACCATTGAGCCACTGGGACTCGATCCAATGGTCCTTGAATTCTAACTTCTGCCAATTCACGACATAGCGCGACCATTTCGCAATGTCTTCTTCAATGAGTTACTGCCTCGTGGCTGGATGTTCTACTAACCGTAGGGTTGGAGGCTCGAAACCCGGTGGGTGCGTACTGCCAATAAGTTCCAGACTATTTCCTAATTAATGGTACATTCACTCGCTGAAAAGTGAGTAAGATATCTTTTTCAAGAGAAACAGACGCAATGTCCTTAAAAGGCCAGTTGTATCATTCCAGAAAGGTCAAGGGTAGGACTGATTAAACCCATCAATTAATTAAAGCAAATTTTCACTTCAGTGGACCGCTTCTATGAAGAAAAATTCGAAAATGTGATAAAACTTAGAAGTTAAAGTCTTCATTCACTTTTATTGCACATATTTCATACGCTCAGCTTTCGAAATCATATTCTGTAACAAACACATTTTATTTCATTCAGGTGAGAATTGAAACAATCAACAACAAAAAAAGTAATCTGTGACTTCAGATTAGTTTTTGTTGAAGATTAGAAGCAACAGTAGATTACATAATGGAGAAGATTTGTAGATCAGGTGGATGATATTGAATTAGTTGTGTTCTCTGAGTGGGTTGATTTAATTGCTAAGCTTTTGTCGTCCTTGTAGATAACATCGTCAGCGCAGGTTGTAGTGTAAAATGAACTTATTCATGGAGAATTTAAATGAGTTCATTTTACACTACAACCTGCGCTGACGATGTTATCTATAAGGACGACGAAAGCTTCGCAATTAAATCGACCCACTCAGAGAACACAACTAATTCAGTAGATTCCATAGTCTATTCATTGTGAGAATAGAACTCTCAGTTGTCATTTTATGTAACATATCAGTAGAAATCGCAAACTAGAGGCATTAGGACAATTTTGCTTCATTATTATTGAACTGAGAAGCAAACCACTGGGATACATCGTTTGTTTAACCCTATCCTAAAGTTTTATCGCATCAGAATAGCAGCTAAAGACTTTAAAAAAAAATTAACTATGACTGTGACTTCTGCATACATTCGTATGATGGATAGATAAACTATCTATTGCACTCCTCCAATGTATATCTGTTAGTGACTAAAAACCACTATTGAAGCCATTCCATTGTGCAATAGATTGTGTGTTTTCTTAACGAATGGAAGAAGGCTGATGATTTTGGTTAGCAACATATGAAATGATAAATTTATATTGTTAGGTGTTTAATAAAACATCTTATAACACCTTAAAGTACGACAAAGGAAAACAAACACAGTTGCCATGTTGTTTTGTTTTCTAAGATATTTATGTTATTTTAAGTGAAAAACAAATAGCTTAGATGTGTTGTGTTTTTTTTCTCTTCCATAAATCCTTGATGATTCATGACATATATTTTGATAAGTGACATCTTACTATTGACTGTGCTTAACTCTTTTTGATCTGTGCAATTTTAACACAATTCATTATTGTTTAAAATTAACAATAGTAATAATAATAATAGTAAACACGAGACTGTGAATGAAAAACAACATAAACGATTACATAATAATGTGAAATTAAACTGGATTGGCGTTCGTACAGCATGGTAAGAATGACTTAGTCACTTTATAGTTCACTCTTACTTAACATAGTTGTTGAGTGAATCGAGTTGATTGTTGTGATAAGCGCAAAGAATTCGGTGTACACACTGTATAGCTACCACACTTAGTGTATTTAAAGTGTAATCTTAATATCTACCTTAATGATTTATTAAATATTCATTGTCATTGGAAATACAAAGTGACAACTGATTACTTCATCGAAATGTAATTAATCACCACCAGTATATGTTTTCAATGTAAATTTCGTCACGAAACAAATCATTCAGAGAGACAATGAATACCGAGGGGAACTGGATATAGGTGTTTCGCTCTAATTAAGGATTTTTCAGTAGCACACACCAGCCACTCCAAGTGGGATAGGACCTATGAATTTCAGATTACAAAGAAATCACATTTACTATTTAATCATAGGTGAGAAGGGGATGAGCCACTCGACACGGTGAAGAGTCCCAAATTAGGACGAATCATCAATTCTATGACCTTCAGTTCTCAGTGGTTCTTTTTCTAATATTGATTCGTAACCAAATCTACACGGACAGTAGTTAAAATCCCTAGAAACCTGAAATATGAATTGATATTTTGTTGATGATATTAATGGGAGCCAGAAAAGATCAGCAACAAAGATCTCTGGGAGCGAACCAACCCAACAGGAACCGATTGTGAAACAAATAGGCAGGAAGAAATGGAGATGGATTGGCTGGCCATACTCTGAGGAAACCATCAAGTGACATCACTAGACAAGCCATTACTCGAGTGGAACCCGAAAGGGAAGCGGCGAGTTGGTCGTCAGTGCAAGGGTGACTTGGAGGAGGTTATGTGAAGAGGAGATGAAAACGTGTGGTCAGACTCGGAGCCAGGTGAAGACTCCAGCAGAGAACCGGACGCAATGGAGACGTTTGGCTGAAGCCCTATGTTCCTCTAGGAATTAAAGGAAACAATAATAATAATAATTAATGGGAGCAGAACAGTGACTCAACAAAGGTTAAATTAATTCAAAATTTACTGTACCACAATTTAGGTGCATTTATACACCTTGCATAATCATTTACAGGATAGTAAAGTTATTCAGATATACATATCTTTTAACAGATGCTATTACAATTATTCACCACAGCCTTGTTGTACTGGAGATACTTTAAGTAAAACATCTAGCATACAAATTCTGAAGTGGATAAATTGCAAATTATTGTTGATCTATTTGCAAAAGTTGTTGATATCTGTCTTAAGTATAAACAGGGGAATCTCTTGAAGGGTGAAAATACTAATATCACTAATAATAACAGTAAGTGATGAGAAAGAATCTATAAAAGTCATCAACAACTACGAAAGTTATCCATATAGTACGGAGTCCCGTTTTGAAAGGGGATAACAGATTCACTTAACGACAGAATTCAAAGCAGTGACCATTTACGTTGTGTAATCTACTGCAGATACACTTACATAATTCGAATTCACCTCCATCTACGAAACTATAAACTTTTACCCCTTTTCTTCATTTATAAGTGTGTTATCGGTACAGGTTTAAGGAACTTAGTTCACTTCTTACAAATCTTAGCAGCATTGATTTAAGTTTCAGAGAAACTTATATGAATACAAAGTGTTTTATTGTCTTACACAGTTCAATGAATGACATAAAATTTATTAGTTCATGAGTACTATGAAAAATCGGACAGTAATATTTAAATTCGGAGGTGCAGCACTGATAAAACTTTAGTAAGGAGGATTTCATCACGAACTGACATAAGTTAGAGAACCACTGGAAAACCTGGGAGTACTGGACAGTGGTTCTCTAACTGGTGTCAGCTCATGATGAAATCCTCCATGCAACCAAACAAAAATCCCTACAAAACCAATACTTGAAAATCTTAGTAAGTTTAACAGCTTATTCAGATTAAAAGTAAATTGATTCTGTAAAGACAAATGGGTGACTGCTTACTTCTTAATATTGGCAAAACAAGGTGACACTAGACCTTTGCGCGGGATGCTTATGTATACTGTGAAATAAAGTGATTTACAGCTTTTTTTGACGCACTAATCTTAAGAATATTCTTTTCGATAACTTCATCATCAGGTTCTACAATTATACATCCATAATAATGAAAGAATGATTGTTATTGACAACAGTTATGTTGTCATTCTTTCATTATTATGGGTATATAACTCTGCAACCTCATGATGAAGTCACCGCAAAGAATATTCTTTGTTCAGTAATCAATCTTTTGAAGATCCTAATAGGCACCTTTAATCAAACAAAGATTTACAGTAATACTATTGACAGTATTATATCAAAATTCGCATTACTATAGATAAAGTATATTTAATTATTCCAGGTAACAGCTATAGCAACAGACCATGGGAAGCCTCGTTTATCTTCTTCTGTTTTAATCAATATAACTGTATTGGATGTAAATGATCACAGTCCACTTCTAGCTTCATATGAAACTGATGAATCTCTTTTACAAACAAATGATTTACCTGTTGGACGTTTTGGAATGAAAAATATGTTTATTATTCAAGAGAATATGCCAGCTAACACATATGTAGGTGATATTTTAGCATTCGACAAAGATGAAGGATTAAATGCTGAATTGAAATTCGATCTACTTCCAGATCCAGTGTTTCATCTTCATGAAAGGTTCAAACTCTTAACAAATGGTTCACTTTACACAAATGTTGAGTTGGATAGGGAAGAAAAGGTTTGTTGTGTATTCACTGTGTGGTTTTGATAATCTACTTATTTATTTATCGATTATTATTATTATTATTATTATTATTAATATCGTTAATGGTAGTAACGGTAGTAAAAGTAGGGTCACATTGAGGCCAGTTGCACAGTTTATATTTGGGTATTCAATAACAATGGATTATTTCAAAATGTATATGCGTAATGTTTAATAATGACTCGTTATAATGAATTTCAGTGAAATCCGAAACACTTTGATTGAATACTAAGTAGTTACTAATGTCATACATCTAGTCCTTCGTTTGGTGCAGACTAAATTCTGCTAGTCAAGTTAGAATCTCAGAAGGGACACGCTTTGCTGATGAGTGCCAGCAAGCACCAAACCTAGGCCCAGGGCTTTCTGCCCTTTGCCTCCAACCATCTAAGAATTCAAAACACATCAGACAATTAACAATGACTAAATCTTCCGCCAAACATCGCAAAATTTATTATTTTGTGTAGAAGACTCGGTGTTCTTAAAGACGGAAAAATACTACGTGGTTTTGCATAAAACTCAAATGTCGACAAGCTATTATTGAGTATTCAGAACTTATTATTTCGATGGACAGTAGAAGTCACACTCAGTACGTTCGTTTTGTCCTCTTTGAATCTCACCAGCTGAATCTACTGGCATCTTAGTGAGATTTGAAAACAACACAAGTTACCACCAAAATCAGAAGACTATTGAGTCACAAAAACTGTGTTCTCTAGAATGTCTACTATCCACTATTTGTTTATGTAGGTAATTCCTCACTGACTCAGTTAATGGGTCAAATCGACTGTATCAAATCCACATTTAGATAATTTTTTTTCCCTCACGTTCCTCAGTGGAACATAGGGCTTCAAGCTTGTAGCTTGAAGTTTCTGTAGCATTGTTTATTTTTACAGGATGGGGTTACTAGCCTCATGCCCAACCTTTCCTCTTCACCAGCATTATTTCTGGCTTAGCGAGGTAAAGGAGTGCGTTGGCCGGGGATCGAACCCCGGACCATGTGCATGGTCAATATAATCCTTATCGTAAAAGAATTCTGTGTCTTCCAATTAATGAAAAACAAAATGTGATACTGTTTTTACCGATCTTTCACCATTCAGTATCAATAACTATAATTATCATGTGTTGGTGGCACAGCAGTAGAATGCTCGCCAACCATGCATTTGGTCCGGGGTTCAATCCCCAGCCGACGCACTCCTTTGCCTCGCTAAGTCAGTAATAAGACCGGTAAAGAGAGGAGGTTGGGCATGCGGCTGGCAGCACCATCCCGTAGAAATAAACATCACTGCTATCGAAACTACAAGCCTCTAGCTTGAAGCCCTATGTTCCATTGGGAACATAAAGGAATTAAAAAAGCTTTAATTTACAGAATCGGAAAACGAATCAACATCTAGATGTCTAATTAAGGGGCATATACGCCGAAAATTAACCTGTTAACCTTGACCGCAGAGAATTACTAATAAACCAGTTAACAAAAGCTGAGTACAAAGTGTTTTTTTTTAAAAGAAACAACTGAAATAGTCTCTTCGTTAATTTTCAGGATCATTATCGTCTTACCGTAGTTGTAAGTGACAAGTCACCTGATGAACCACTGTCGACGACAGGAACTATTGGTATTATTGTTCTGGATGTAAATGACAATCGACCACAGCTTTTAAAGCCTCAAGGACTATTATCGCCTAGTAAGTTGTAAAACATTTGTTTATCTTATCTCCTTTTATTCTAACCACTGTGTTTAAATTGGTTTACTGAATGTCACCAACTTCTTTAGCCGATTCAAAACTATTGGTTCAATGAAATCTTGATGCTGTATAAAAATGAAGTGAGTAATAAATGGCTTATTGTATTATCACTGGATTTCTAGAAATCCAACAGAATTCCCATTAAAAGAGAATGGATAAGAGAAATTCTGAAACTATGGATTTCACTTTATCATTATAACCTCCTGTTAGAAGTAGCAATCTACTTTAAAGAAATAAAAAAGCTCTCCAAAAGATGCTACCTACATAAAAAGCTAAGCAAAGTATACTTTAAGATCTATAACCAGCTTATACTGATTCATTTCTCTGTTAAATCTATAAAAAAACTTATAAAGTTTCATGATATTCTGAGATGGAAACTGTTAACACATTTTGTTTTTTTCCAGCAGTATGCGAACCGCTTTTTAGTCCTGGTAACCATCTATCTATCTGTCGTTTCCTACACTTTCCTTATCTTTATTCATTGAAATTGTTGCCTTTATCTTTTCATACTAACTTCATACATTATAACTGTTGTCTATAATTGAGCTAGCCTTCGTTTCCTCAAAATGGAAGTACCAACTATGTGCTCAGATTTCAAATAATATTCCATGGTAGAAGGTAGGTATTACTAGGGGGACACCTACCATAAACGAAAGTATCACACTAAGTTTTTGACACAGACAGAGATTCAGCTGTTTTATTTCGTTTCAGCTGACTGACTGCCTGGATATGTAGGATACATTCACCACAAATAACGGCGAAGTCTAAGTTGCCACTTTAAATTCTTGGATTGTGGGCGTAATTATATTGCTGTCTTTAATCTTCTTTTTTTTTGTGCTGTACAACCAGATCTATTTGGTTAGTCATATAAGAGTAAACATATTGTAAACGTGTCATCTATATAACAAAACTGTGGAAGTTGCTTGATGTACAGTTTTTTGTTTCTGAAAGTATTTGCATTTCATTAGAAGATTAAGCTAAAGCTTTTGAAACTAATTCCCCAAGAAGAAGCATCATTCTTTTAATAAAGTGTAAACCTCAATTGATTGAGGTAGATGGGAGTAAGCATTCTTCACATGCTGTGTTGGATTTTTTTTCCCTTCACGTTCCCCACTGGAACATAGGGCTTCAAGCTAGAGGCTTGAAGTTTCTGTAGCATTGTTTATTTTTACAGGATAGGTTGCTAGCCTCATGCCCAACCTTTCCTCTTCACCAGCTTTATTACTGGCTTAGCGAGCTAAAGGAGTGCGTCTGTGGCCGGGGATCGAACCCCGGACCATGTACATGGTCGGCGAGCGTCCTAACCGCTGTGCCACCGACGCTGCTGTGTTGGATGTAGTAGAAATACTATAAATAAAGGTAGACTGTGATTCAATAAATATTTATTGGTAGTTCATGAACTTATCATCTATTGGTCCCATTTGTATAGTAAATCCCTACTATATAGCTAAATTTCGCCTAAAGACAGAAACAACAAAGTTGACAGTTCGAAATAAATCACTGATGGAAGTGTATTTATTCCTTGTCTTCATTGAAGATCTGAACATTTTTTTAAAATATTTGTCATGTATACTTGATTCTTTCAAACTTGTCGTCCTCTCAACTTTAACTGGTTTTGTCTTCCTGTGATGGTGTTAGTTGTGATCAGTTAAAATGGGATAATCTTACGCCAGGTTTCGCGCAGTATATATACACCTCTGATTAATACATCTAAAATTCAATAGTTCTTTTACCCTTAACCAGCTTTTATCAATTCAGTAACACAAATAGGAAGATTTTACTGTTATCAGTTATTTCAGGATAAAGGAACTGAAGCTTCCTGTTCTTTCAGAGATTCAGTTTCAGAATTTCTGCATATCCAATTTCAGGAATATTCGTATCTATATTAGATAAGTTTATTTGATATAACACACAGTAATACAGTGCTGATAACAAGATGATGCTGCGAGCACAATCATTTGATATCATCCAGTTGTTATTCATGCAGCCAGGTGAGGGCTTACGGCGAGTTTTCATCTGAATTGGTGACAATTAATGGTTCCCTCATTTCTGATGAATTCCGTCATAGATGTATTAACGGACTTAACCCTAAGTGACTTGAGCGACTCAGGCATTGACTTGTTACCATCAGGGAATAATCTCGTTGACCTAGAATATGCAGATGATATAGTTCTTCTAGGTGAAGACGCTGACAAAATGCAGAGTCTTCTGAACTCCTTGAGTTTCAATCTGCGAGTGTTTGGCATGCGTTTCGCTCCCTTTGTCGAATGTAAGATGATGCTGCAGGACTGGAATACACTGACTCATAGCTTAGAAATAGGAAGCGAAGTGGTAGAGCACGTTGACCACTTCACTTATTTGGGAAGTTGTATCAGCCAACGCCAACGGGTTGATCGCTGACGAACTCTCAGCACACATACAGGAGGCTTGTTTCACACGTGCCAGTTTACGCCGTCTCTGTCGTAGACGTGATATGCAGCTATCGACCAAAGGACTGTGAGACCTGGCCATTGAAAGTGGAAGACATGAAAAGGCTGGCTAGCTGTCTTTGATCATGGGTGCCTGCGTTCTATCTCCCGTGTGAAGCGGAATGATAGGGTAAGCAATACTGAGGTTAGGCGTAGAGTGCTAGTTAATAAGGGGAAATCAATCGACGAGGCTGTGAAGTTACATCGATTGAGATGGTTAGGACATGTGTTACGTATGCCTAGTCATAGCCTTCCTCGACAATGGGTAATGTTAGCTGACATAGGGTCAGACTGGAAAAGAGCTAGCGGCAGTCAAACCAAAACATGGCACCAGTCAATGAAATCCACAACAGTTAGTTTAAGCCACGTAGGAAGACGTAGACTTCCTGGTTGTGGTCCTCGGGACGGTAAAAACCAATGGCTGGAAACAATCGGTGATATGGCTCAAAATCGTTCTCAGTGACGCAGATCCATCCACTCCTTGTGACTTATAATTTCCAATGAAACTATATTGTTCTTCGTTATTACTATTCCTTTTCCCTGATACCTCTGTTTACTGTCTCCATTTTGCATTTCTTCTACTTTCTTCTCTTGCTTTGTGTGCTACATGGAGTGTGGTGACTTGAACTGCTGCACATCGGTGCAAAGTTCTATGTTGAGAACAGACAGACAGACAGATCCAGTTGTTAATACTGTATCACTGTGTGTTATTTCAAATAACCTCATCTAATCTGGAGTTATACACTACCAAAGGGCCCAAATTCGACTTTTATATTCATATATAGTTTATCCAAAGTGAACACTACAAGCATGTTTCATTTGTTCTCCGATTCTTTCGAGAATTAAAAACGATCTAACATAGGAGTTCTTGTTGTGAAGACTAGAAAGTAGAGATATATTAATTACTTCCAAAATATGATAAAAGTTAGTAAGTTTGAAAGCTTTACATAACAGTATTTGATAGGATGACATCCATCCTAAGAGTTTCATGGTAACATTAAATCTAGGAGTAGTTTCTGTTTTTCGAGTCAAATGCATTGATAAAAGTTAATAACTGGAAACATATGAATTACAAAGACTTGCATAAATAATTTATGTGAAGGTAACGACAGTCTGAGAAGAAAAGTAGCTCAGTTACCCAAAATTCCATGTTTGCCTAAGTGCTCCATTTAAAACTATCAAGAACCTTCCATTTCTGATGAAATTCTTACTACCTAGCACTTAGGCTATTTCACAATGAGACTTTAGATCAGACAGATGAATCCAGTGTGAAATTATGAAAGTAGATGATTGTTTGAATACATAATTAAAAGCTAAATGGCTAATGGAATACCTTTATATGGAAAAGCTTTCTAAAACCTCATAACTATACTAAACTTTACTTCTGCCATTTCATACTTCTCAACAATCAAAAAATTCCATGAGTTCTACTAAGATATTCTGCATCGAAATACATTTACTGTTTTATGCTAAAGGTGAGGATTAGACCACCAGACTCAAATATTTTCAATGTAGATTTGACGAATTTAAACTATAGGGTCCCAGGGGTGCGAACGTTCCAGTGACCCTGAACGCATGCTACTCGTTGGCTAACGACATCTGCAGTTATTCTAGCGCAAATATGACCGCCGTTCATGTGCAAAAAATAACTTATTCTTATGATTGGTTGGCTCAAGATCACTAGTACGCTCGCAACACTTGGGACCCCATAGTTTAATTTTGCCGTAGATTTCGTCATCTATCGAGTTCATTTATAGAATCACTGAAAACTAAAAACCAATAGATTTGTGTTTCACCTTACTTCGCTACTCTTCAGCATTATATACACATGATCTAACCACGGGTTCAAAATCCACACTCAAATTGGTCAAACTCCTTCAAACTCAAAACTGTGAACATCAAATGGCTCATGAGCACTGTATTTACTATGATAATCGAAAATGTGTCACCGTGTATAAACTATGGAAGTATAATTATAATTAATTTAATGTATTCCACAATGCACAAACTTTTCACTGACATTGAGTAAGAATATGCTTTGCCAAATGCAAATTTTAGCTAATTAAATAACCTGTTACACTCTATGGATACACATCTACAGACAGCTAATCAACAGAATATGATTTTCTAAGAATTTTGTTTCATTTGTTCATACTGACAGTTTAATTATGATACTCCTTAGCTCGGAAGTTAAAGTAATTTATTGTTTTTCTTTAGATAACTCACAGCTTAGAGAATACAGACGACATATGAATCCTGGTGTCCTGCTTTATGATCAACCTTCAGAAGAAGTAAATCACAACATAATAAAAGGCAATCAAAAACGCAGTGATCCAGAATACTATACTCCTATACCAAGTCCAGGAATTATTCCCGAGGCTGAAAATGCAAAGTTCACACTTCCAGAACCCGTAATTCATCTATCTGTGCATGAAAAACCTGGACAAGTTATCTGTGCACTATATGCAGAAGATCCCGATGCTGGAGAAAACGGTTCTGTGTTTTATTTGCTTGAAGAATTCTACGATCTGTTAATAAATGAAATTAAACCGAATCCTCTAATAAGAGTTAATCCGGAGAACGGAGATTTAGTAGTATTACGCCAAATGCTACCAACAGATTTAGGATATCACTTTTTTAAAGTTACTGCATCTGACCGTGGGCACCCTAAAATGAAAATGGATCAAAAGGTATGTCCTAGAATTTTATATTTGAAATTATTGTCCTCATTTGAAATCTCGATGATGATAGCTTCGTTTTGTTTAACATATGTTTCAGATCTTGTCAATACTTGTGGAAGATATCCCAGCGTCTGGAGCAATGGCACATAATTTATTATCTTCCAGTTACTACATGAGCAATATAACAGGATTAGAGCTGGCTAGTTGGACAGTGGGTGGGACTAAAAACATCCTGGTCATTTCGGTTTTATCAGTCGTATCAGCGATTTTGGCAACTATACTAATTACAGCTATCATTTGTGTTATAAAACCATGCTCAAAAAATAGACGCAGACATAGAAATGTTAACGGAAGAAATGATACACTGAGGGACCGACCACCTACATATCCTGGAAGTTCAGAAACAAATGGAATACTGATGAATGAAAGTGAAACTTTCATAAATGGAAGAATGGAGCAACGTGGTTATACAACATCTACCGATATTTATCATCCCTTATTTCATAGACCTCTTGATCCACTAAATGGACATTTCGATAACTGGAGGCATCAGTATGGAAATAATGAAATCAGCTGCGGGAATATATCTTATTCACACGGTACCTTACCATCAGCTGACTTAGAACATAGTAATTCAAAAGACCACGACATTCTAATAAACCCAAGGCATATGATTAACACCGATAATAATGTAAGTTAATAAGTGAAACTGTTTATCTATTTAAACTGAAGAATATAATATATTAAATATTTAATTAAAACTACTTTAGCCTAAGTGTTCAGTAAATAAATATGATGACAAGATTTGTGTGTAGATGAATGATACGAAAACAAAGATAGTCATTATTTATTTCCTACTGTGGAAATATTCTTATGATTACTTTTAATTCAGTGTGAAATTTAAACCTGTGTTGTGACTGAATATTTTTTCTTTTCTTCTACTTTCATTCCAACTGATAATTTGCATTCAAAATACAAAGAAAATGATACATAACGGAACATTACAAACTAACTATGAAAACCTGATTCATCACAATCTTCATGATATGCATACCTCACTGGAGTCAACGTCTGTTAGCATATCTCCTTCGTCTAGAATGAATGATCAGTCTGTCTCCGTACGAGTCTTCAATTCACAAATAGGTTCTGATGGAATGAGTGAAATGAATGATCAAATTTCCTTACCACGACCTAATAAACTATCCGGTATTGTTTACTCTAGTAATTCAGTTACACCAAAACTTGACACAGCTAATGAATTTTATATTGCTAAACCAATACCACTTGTATCCAGAGTTATATGTAACTTTAATGCAGATCAAATGGTAAGAAGAGAATCAAATTTTGCTTTTATTTCCATATAATATGTTTTATATTATGTTTATTGAGTTCAACTAGCTGTTAAAGATTTTGGAGGACAAAATTTCGCTTATCAAAGTTGACTACTATTTATTTGATCAGTAAGCAAATTGTATCATGTAAAATAATTGATGGAATAAATCAAAGGTATGAAGGTACCATCCACCAATTCAATTCTAATTATCTGCTTCAGTTTGTTAGAATCGTTCGAAAAACTAAAATTAATCAGATGACACTGCAGCAAGGTGATTCATCTACTCAAATGCAATTGAGATAGATCGTAATATATAGAAGATAAGTGGAGAAATGTAGTGTTCAAAGAGAAAACAGCTTACAAATAACATTTAAGTAATACAGTAATACGGTCTATCAGTTTGTATTTGTCTGCCAAGCATTTAATTGTAAATCTGAATGCCATTTTATGGTATCCATTGCTGGTGGAGAATTCATGATATTTTAAGGATACTGAACAAACAGGCAAACAAACATCAATCTGATGCTATTCTCAAAGTTTTAATTTAATTTTTGAGCCAAGCCTCAGACAGAGAAGGGAATACTTCATTTCTCTCCTTTATGTCCCTCTTGATTCTGTATCTCGGCGGAGCAGAAAACATCTTAGAACGCTGTTTGGTCATGAAAAATGACACCCCACGCTGGGCATCCTTTTAACATGCCCGCATATTGGTTGGTGTTATCCCACCCCCCCTGTCCGGCTTCAACTTCCTCACTGGTTGCATCTCCCTGGCCCATCCCAGGGAGTCACAATAACACTCAAAGAAGTCTTACAAATGCACAACACCTAGTGCATGAGGTGGACACTCCTGCAACAAGCCTGCCGGGAATATCGAGGATGTCAACGATACTCCCTGGTGGCTCCCTCTGTTTGTGACCAAGCCGTAGGGTATGTTTGATCAAACTTAAATCCACACCCGAGGTGCCAGTTACCCAGATGTTTCGCCTTGTCAGGGCAATTATCACATACTCCCTCTCAGGATGAAGATACACAAGTGATAACCCGGTGATCAGATGCTGAGTACCCTGGACAGTAGGCTGTTACATCCAGCGGTTGCGCTGCTCCCACTGAATCATGGGCGGAACCCTGATTCTTGTCTACCCGTGCAGCTGGAGGTCGTGCCGCTAACCATGCGTTTAGTGACATTGGTAGGCAGTTTTAAAGACCGCAACCAAATTCAAGACCACACTTTGTCCACTCTCAATTACTAGGGGATGCAACCCATAACAGACCACATTCCCCCGAGGCCTTAAAGGCCACCGTCCTCGAAGAACTATTCTCGGCCGTAGTCCCCTAACAGGTTACTTAAAAGGTTCGAATCAAGCTGTCTGTAGAATTTTCACCATAGGGATACGAGACTCTCACCAACGGATACTCCCACCTATTTTTTAGGACTAAGTTACCAAGCACATAAAAAGTTCGGTCAGACTCTCAAGATGCCAAAACACCTGGAAGATACGTCGACTAGAATAACAGCGCGAGTAGCATTCCCCGCCTAAAAGAATGGCTCACTCTCACCCTGACAGAATTTTGTTCGGACCCCTTACGTTTAGTCCTATCCGACACATAGAATTGAGATTATCCAGATGAAAACCAGACATGTAAATACCACAATATCTGAATACAAAAGATGTGAACCTACCAACGTGACTAGGAAATAGTCTACAGACAGAGTTTAGTCAGTTAAATATATAATAAAGATCGAAACGCAGATTTTCTTAAGCACAGTCTGTGACAAAAATGCAAATCTGACAAATTACTCATGGTAATTGGACAGATTTTGGTTCATATTTAATATAAATAGTACTACTATATGAAGAGCACTAAATAGTAAATGAAACTTGTGCAAAATACCAGGGGTCAGTAACCACGAAGCTTAAGCTCCAGACCTGCTCCTTTCACTAACCATCAGCACAGCTTGTCCGTAGTCTCCGGAAAACAGATATTCCCTCAATCACCCGAAAATGCATCTACCCAGGTGACATCATTCACAAAACGCGGTTTCGTTGCCTGGATTTATTTCTACAATATAAATTTCACAGATCCTACATCAACAGTCACTTTTCAATTCTATAAGATGGTGTGGTATATATTCAGTTTTAGCATAAGTCCAGGTACTGAAGTATGCTTACCATGCTTATCAATTCCCAATTCCACATTTAAGATACACATATACATAGATGGAGTAATGCCTAGTTCATCATTCTGTTTAACTAAATGGGCCGGTATGAATAGTGGGCAATTAATGAATGTCCTCAACAAAGTCAGAATCGAAGTTACTGTAATGTTTCCAAGATAAACAACTCGAAACTGATTCATCAATTATTTCCTTTAAAAAGCACTGAAGATATTTCTATTCGTGTACTCTACTTGCACAGGGTTCAGAAGAAACGACGAAAACTGATGACGCACACACAACCAATTCCATGAAGTCGACACTATCCCCAGTAAATCTACTGGATCCTGTCGCAGACGATAGCTTGACGAGATATCAGGGGAGTCGAGTGGACACAGCAGTGCCTAAATTTGGCACATTTAAAAGTTGTATGACGATAGGGGAAGGACAGAATTCAGTTGTTGAAGAGATTGTGACAGGTGAAGAGCAAACGTGTGATTCTGGTCGTGGTGGTAGTGAGGAGGAGTTGATTTTGCGTAAATTAGATGAACAGCAAACTCACTCAAGCATTCCAGAGATAAGTTGTGAAACAGGCAAGTTTATATATTTTTTTACAAGTCTTTCGTGAGATACTTTTCTTTACACTTTGTAGTGTTTGTGTTGTATTACGATGTTTTTTTTATGAGAGCATAAACTTAAATACTTTTCTTTTTTCCTTCACGTTCCCCAGTGGAACATAGGGCTTCAAGCTTGTGGCTTGAAGTTTCTGTAGCAGTGTTCGTTTTACAGGACGGGGTTGCTAGCCTCATGCCCAACCTCTCCTCTTCACCAGCCTTATTTCTGGCTTACCGAGGTAAAGGAGTGCGTCGGCCGGGGATCGAACCCCGGACCATGTGCATAGTCGGCGAGCGTCCTAACCGCTATGCCACCAACTTAAATACTTATGCCTCTTAAATTTAAGTCAAGTTCAGAGTAAGTTGACTGAATAACTTAAAGGGTTGTTCGGATGATGGCTATTCACATTAGCAGAGTATGCCATTTTAAGTTGTATTCTTTCGCTTTACATTCAATTAAAGACTAACTGCTATTGCACGAACTTAGAAACACTCAATATGAATGCGCTTACATCACCATGAAAGGTAACTAGTTCAATAAAGCCTAAAAATATTTAGTTTTACTAAATACTTTCATATCAATGTTTTTTTTCTTATTGGGGATTATTTAAATTCTTTCCTAAAACGATTTGTATTAAACTGGGTCTCTGAAAAAATAAACAATTGGCAAAAGTGTATCAAGTAACTCTCTCAGTTTTCTTAACGGAGCTGATATATATTAATCTATGAAAAAATAAATTCATTCTTCAGTGTATTAACTCAGATGATGACGTATTTGAAGAAGAGGTAGAAAAAAGAATGAAACTATAAAAATGAACAAGATAGTCTGTCTGCTGAAGTGTTAAGAGATATTTTTCGAAAAACTTGGCATTTTACATGAATATGATGTAGAATAAAAAAAAAGAAAAAAAAGAGTAAGCATAACGTCATAACTATAAAGCAAAAATGACATTTTGTAGTAAGAATCATTGCAGATAGAAATTTATAATCAAAAGTAAACTTGTAGTATAAAAATATTTGTTTAGAAATTGTGCAATGTTCATCGGTGAAATCAGCTTTTAAATTTGTGTTCACATTTCTTCAGAAGTGATCTTTTCATTCACTATCATACACAGATATTTATTGAAATTTTAATTATACAAAGAAAACTTGGTACAATATGGCATCAAGAAGATGCGCCACACAATAATAATAAAACAATATAGACTAAAAGTTAAAACATAGGTAGAAAATGGATAAAAAAACTTCATCTGGAAGGAAAACAGTCATATTTAACAAGTTCAAACAGTACTCGTCAGTTATCCTCGGAAAGGGAAGAAAGAAGGAAATCGCAACACGCTCGCCATAGATTACGATTTTTCGCCATATCCAATAACGTTGCGAGCCACTAATTCGAGCTATTACTCGGACTCAAACCATGGAGTCGTGACGCACCAACTGATGCTAACCTAACACAAATATCCTTCATCCCACGACTCCACGTCATGGGCTAACTACCCCTCCGCTTTTTCCATCCCGTCCCAGGACTAGCGGATAGAGACCTATACGGAAGCCTCTGGGATGACATTCGCAGCACATGTCCCAGCCACCGAAGCCGGTGTTTCCAGATGACGATACTCAACGAATGATGGTCTCTACTGTGTTCAAACACACGCTGCCGGACCTCAGAATTACTCACGCGATGATGCCCTCAAACGCAAGCAATCCTGTGGAGACATCGATGATGGAATACGCACAGCCGCCGCACATTCACAGCTTGGAGAGGCCAGGTATAGAGCAAGACAGCTCACACCGAAGCATTGTATACCCGACCTTTGACAACCAGGCTAACGTCGCGACGGCGCCAGAGGTGGCTCAAGTTAACGTATGCCACACTAGTTTTCATGACACGGTTGGAAATCTCATCCGCCACCCCTTCGCCAGCATTCACACAACTACCCAGATATACAAACTTATCAACAACTTCAAGAGTGAGTGCAGGTACAGGCTCCTACCAATCTTGTAACAGTACTTTGCACTTAGACGGCGCAAAGCACGTACCATACTTACAGGCATTGATCGCCGACTGATTAAGTGCGATTCGGACAGCCTGCATGCTATCGCACAGTAAGACAATATCGTCTGCATACTCAAGGTCAAAAAGTCTCTCTCCAGGGAGTAGATCTACACCACCTTCACACACACAGCATAACTTTATTAACACAAAATAATCAAAACTGTAGACATATTTCATCTTGACTGATGACTCATAAGAAGTTGGGTCGATTTAGAACATCTCAGAATATCACGAGGGTTATTTAAAGAACAAAATTAAATTTTATAATTCATGTAAATATTTCGAAGAACCAAGTATTTTGCGTCATTCGTATGTTCTTGAGTGTCCCTCAGGTGTACTAAACTGTCACCAGATCTGCTATTTTGCCGAATTTGAGACTTGTCTTTTCAATAGTTGTAACCTGTACAATTTAATTCAAAGACGAAATCAGCTGTGAGTAGTACACATAATTTATATATTATGGATTTGATGTTATCGATAGAATATGATCACCAAGTGATTTCAGACACAGTTTTTTCTAATGATTACCAGTAATCATGAAGCTGAGATTCAAAGTTTCCTGAGAGGTGAATCTACGGAAATAGTGACACCTGGATAGCAGATGAGTCTAGCAAACTGGCTGATAGAATTTCGGGATATCAATCCGAATGTAGCTGTTTTTGATATGGTTGTGTTCTCTGAGCTGGATAGTTAATTTGCGGAGCTTTCATCACCCTACTGAGTGACATCTTCAGCGCATACTTCAATTTGAAGTGAGCTTTTTAATTTCTCCACGAGTTTATTAATCATCTCTCCTGGTGACCTTGGATGTGATTGGTTGTTTTTGTGCGTTTCGACTGGGACAACGTTCAAATATTAAACAGAGGAAACAACAAGAATGCTAGAGAATTTTTAGAAGCCTGGTATCCCAGTGAATCGTCAATCAAGAGACACATCGACAAAATTTACCAATCGATAAGAAGGAAATCTCACACACAAAGGGTCAAAGTTCGAATCAAAGAAACAATCAGTTCCAATACAAGTAACCTAGAAGGTGTGAAAACACACAAAAACAACCAATCACGTCCAAGGTCATCAGGAGAGATGATTAATAAACTCGTGGAGAAATCAAAAAGCTCACTTCAAATTGAAGTATGCGCTGAAGATGTCACCCAGTAGGGTGATGAAAGCTCCGCAAATTAACTATCTGAATGTAGCCATCTTAAATCATACAATGATCAAGACTGTAGTTTGATCTTCAGTTATTGCGTATTATATCAACAGCGGTCTTTCACTTCAAGACTATGTTAAGTAGTCTATCCGACAGTATTATAACCAAAAGTAAGAGAATCACAAGAACCGGCTAGAATCAGATCACCTCAATTTGTAAAGTAGGATAGCAGTGGATTTGGATTTAACGCCAAGAGGGAGAGATTTCTTGAAATCATACGAATTTAATTCGCTTAAATGGCCAGTTGTCTGTAACATCATTCTTTAGTATAACCACTTGTCATACTTCATTCAATATTTGCTTCCTAACTGTTTTTCTTCTCTCTCTCTCTCTCATTTATTATTAGGGACTAATGTATGGAATAAATCTTCATTTCATTTAGATTCATCACCCAATTCACTTGTTGTTAATTCCGATGATATGAATTTAGTCAATCCATGGTCTATGAAGAAAACGCATTCAATGAAATCAGAATATCATCAAAACAACAATTACCACCGTTTGTACCTTTCCACTTCATGATGACAAGGGAACAAAGAGAAACTGAAATTAAAACATCATGTATGCATGCAACAGCTTATAGCATAAAACATTTATGTGTATGCCTTAGAATACAAAATTCTATGAATAAAGCGCTGTAATAAGCTATTCATAGAGATGGATGGATTGAGTCATTAATTATAGACAGTCGGAGCATTACAACTAATTATCATTACTATAACGAATGCCACTGTTAAACTATTTCTCAACTTCAGTCTTTTTTTTTCCTATATGTATCCATTTGTTTTGCCTATGCTGCTAATAAATAAATAAATAAAATGTATATGTTTGTCTGCTTTGTAACCAACATAAGAATGTGTTCACATTTTCACATAATAATAAAACTTCTTTGACTAACACTATTAGATGAATTTCCCACGTGGTCGATTTCAGTTGTTGTAAACTTCTCAACCAACTTTGTATACAAACACAGTTTACCTGTCTGCATTAGTTACACACACAAAGAAAATCACATTCCATAGGAAATAATCTCCAGTAAACAATGTCGAATTGCCTTTGTTTTTTTTTTTACAAATATTCATGTTTATATCTATCTTAGATAGATAGATAGATAGACTAGACAATTCTATGTTTGTTAATTAATTGTACATTTTATTGTAAAAGAAGTTTTTACTTCTTAAGCTTTACTTTTTGAATAATAAATTCATCCTTATCACATTTCTGTCAAATTGTCACATTGTGTAATTCAGTGTCTTGATATTTTTTTTGCATTAGTCTACTGCTTTTTTTCTCTCTCTCTCTCCTTTGTTGCCTGAAATTAGTCATTTTCGAGGAATCTATCTCACACAAACAAAACAACAACAAAAATTTATCGTCGTGGTGATGAAACTCGAATTCGCTGAGTTCTTCTCTTTTCCTTCTTATTTAAATATGACAAACTTACAGAAATAATAATGTTACATGTAGAATAGTTTTTTATTTACTTCTGCGCAATTCTACTTTAAAGTCGATATACATTTAAAAATCTACGAATTAATGATACTTCTATAGCTTGATCAATATTTAAGATGTATGACAGGATAAAGCAAACGCTCATTTCTACTTCTACTTTTAAAGTATTATTCATGTGTACTCTTGTCTTAACTACTCATTAATAGCTAGAATACTTTCTTTTTCTTTTCAACTGATAGACAAAATTGCAAAAATAAGATAAAATATATTATGCAATCTAAAACCTTAGAAAAGTTGATTGAAAGGAAAGTAGTAATTCCTTAAAATAGGCAAACACGATATTATCGTGTTAAGTTTTGAAGAATATGCGCAATGAATTTCACTATCAATCATATTGATCAATCCATTATAGTGCAACCATTTTCATGGTATGTAGGTCTCGGAAAAGAAAAAACACGTTTTGCTGAAGTTAAGTGTCTCAAGTAGAACATGTTCGATTATTTCATAAAATTAAAAATATAAGAGGATTTTAAGCAACAAGACAATTCTCACCAAAAATTCAACAGTGAAAGACTGAAAATTATATTAATAATGATGACTTGTTTTGTATAAAACAAGAGGTGATAATATCTGTCTTTATCATCGCATATTTAACAATAATTAAATCTGCTCTATTTTGAAAGGGTAGCTAGCACAGAACAGTGAACAATTTTATTTAACAATAGTAAGAAGATAGTATAAGGACTGGTTAAGAAAATATTCAAATTTTAGGAAAATTTAAATATCTGATTGGAAGATATGCAAGTGAAAAGCAACAATTTGGCAGAAGAAGCATCCAGAGAAGATAGGCCTTCAGGTAAACATAGCGAAAACAGAGGTGATGAAGATCCCTGGCCAACAATAACAACAGACAACAATCAACATAAATGGGAGAAATCTGAAAGTAGTAACCTCCTTCACACCTACCTACCTGGAAAGCATCGTTTCAACTACAGGCGGAATTGACGAGGATATCAAAGCGAGGATCTGAAAAGCAAGGCAGGCTTTCATTTCTCTCAAGTGTGTGTGGAGATCAACAGCACTCAGCATGAAAAATAAGATCCGGATTTTCAACTCCAGTGGGAAGTCATTGCTACTATACGGATCACAGACTTGGTGCCACCAACCAGGAACCAAGTGTGCAACAAATATTCAGGGAGAAATGGAGGTGGATTGGATTGACCATACTCTGAGAAAACTAACCATCAAGTGACATCACACGCCAGACCATAGCTCGAGCGGGAAGCGGCGAGTTGGCCGTCAGTGTGAGGGTGATATTGAGAAGGTCATATGAAGAGGAGATAAAAGCATGTGGGCAAATGTGGAGCCAGGTGAAAAAGTTGGCAGAAAACCGAACGCAATGGAGACGTGCTGCTGAAGCCATAGGTTCCTCTAGGAACTAAAGGAAACAATTATATAATAATAATAAATATCTGATTAAAAAATATTGACCAAAGCCTTGGAACCCGTCAAGTACGAAAATAATTATTCATATAGAATGAAAGTATGTACGAAGACAGTTCCTAACTACACTGATGACGGTAGTATGTGGTGAGAATAATTTTTATAATAATTTAGTTTCTTGGATGTAAGAAGAAATGTTAGCACGATGTAAAAGTCCATCCATTGAGAGAAAAAAATTTGAAGCGGACACTATCTTCACTACAACAGCTTTTGTGCAGTCAACTATAAGCGTGGACTACTGAGGATACTCTATAATAGAGTTAGGAGGGTATATTCACCCAATAGGGTTGGGAGAAGAATAAGCTTTGTTAGGAAATGCCCAAGAGAAAGTGGATACTTTAAGGGATTCATCCTGAAGTACGGTAAAGAAAAAGTCGAGATTTGTGATAGTTGGTGAACCGGTTTATTAGTACAGTCCTATTATGCAGTAAGTCAATTAAAATGCAACTGATATCTTAAAATTCTTTATAACTGCTAAAGAGATCATATAAGGGTTTCTAGGTAAGACAGAATGTGTTAAACGCTAAACCTATATTTTTATCTTCTCTAAACAAATATTTTTCATCCTAAGAATCAGTAAGGAAATATACTGTTGTATACGATTTCTACTACTGTCGCAAGTAATGTGAGTCTTAAATTTTCTCATCGTGAAGAATCAGTGTAATCTTCATCTGTCATTAATGTAAACACATAAGGGAATTTAGGATTTAAAACGATGGAGATTTGTAGATCCGAAGGATGATAGACACTGTCTCATGTTCTCCGAGTTTTGACATTTAGTCGTAGATATTGCGTTGCCACACCTGATGACAGATTTGACACTAACTCCCTCAAGAAGTAAAACATATTTTCAGCTGGTATGAATATCCAGTCATTCCTTTTCTTCTTCTTCTTATCCAGCAGGTAACTAACTTTTTAAACTTACGTTTTATTGCTAATTCTTCTTAACCGTGTCGTTTCATTTTACTATTGATCTGATTCACTAATTTCGTTTCACATTTCTTGGAGAATATAAATTATGCTTCCAGAGTAGGCTGTATGTTGGGTCTGTGTGTACATCCTCATTGACTGAAGTTCCATTTGAATGCAAGGCTTCTAGGAACATTTTTTTTCTCTCTATCTGTTGCCAGCTGAAGTTGCGTGTAAAGTCATCTTCTTACTGTAAACTGATTTGACCAATACAGCAACCGGATTGGCCAACAGAGTATCCTGTACAATCTTTACAGATAATTTAGTAAACCACCTTTGCTTTTTTTGTTTCCAACAAAGGGTCTTTTGTAAAAATTTTATGAATCTCTACATAACCACAATTCCAAGTGGATAAAGTAATCGGCTGATAGATTCTGACAGACCTTTGGTGTAGACCTTGTTCAGTTGTATGAATCACATTATAACAACAGAAGACTAGGGCCAGGCAACAGATCATGTATTAAAGAAAATCAACACATATTTATAGATTTTAATGTACATTATTGTTAGTAGAAAATACAGTCTTTCGATTGGTTGTTTCTCACAGAAAGTTAACCTTGCATCTCTTTGTGGCTGTGTCAGATCATCCATATGCTAACTGTACCCACCTACGCAAAGCCTTTGTTCTCATTTTCTCATCACCAATATTGGGGACATAAACATTGACGTCAATTACTGTCTACCGACTTTGGCTAGCAGCCAGCTCTCACCACAACATTACTTTATGTTCTGCTGATAAGCACTTTCTGATGAGGTTTTGAGGAAGGTCATTTACTTTCAACATTCTGTGCAGGTAGTTTGTCTTGAGATTTTCGTAAAAGCTCTTCACTTTATTAGCTTTTGCTCTTGAAAACAAATAATGTCTTAACACAAGATTTCTTATGAGTTATCGGCTAACTGCTGTTATACTTTACAGTTTGATCAGCGTATTTTTCTTTATAAAGAAGAAGTAGGAGACAATGGAATTTCCTTCCTAGATGTGTTCTTCAGCAAACAGAGCGACAAGACTTTACAGAGAGAAGTGCACAGGAAAGCTACTTATAAGCTGAGGAAGAAGATTACGCTATGCAAGAAGTGGATATACATTACTGGTAGTAAATAAATTAGATTCAGTGAATAGCTATTCTGGATATCTTTTGTCGCTTCCAGTTTAAGATATTTTAGGTTTTCGACAACATATTTGATGAGAAACCAAATTTGGTACATTTTCTAGCGTACTCTGAGGGATTTCTACTAGGTTGGAAGAAATATCAATTTAAAACAAAAATTAGTTGCATTCTTAATGAGTAACCTGCTATTACAAGTCAAACTTTACCAACTGCTAATCACTATATTGTTCCTTCTTTATGTGCATTGCTGCTGAGTTGTGATTGTTAGATTGTATATTGAAGAAAGTCTCAACTGTCTTTCAACCTGTTTTCAAACTACGCTGATTTCCCGTGCTTTTTTTTCTGTTCGCCGACATGATACTTGTCTGGAGTGAACCAACTTCGTTTAGTGTACGAAATTTACTAGGTAAACTATCTTTTGTTATACCCTGAACAGTCACAGTACTATGATTACTTTCTAAATTGATTAATTCAAAGTTTATTTTGAAT